GCGGGTTGGGGGGGGCTGCGGCAGGGAGTGCCAGCCACGGGGTGGGGCTGCTTCCTCCCCACCATGCTCAGCTTTTCCCCAGGTTCCTTCCCTGCATGGAGGAAAGCGGTCCTTCCCAGCCCCATGGCCAGTACTCCCTGCTGCAGCCACTCGCAGCCCACATGGGGCTGTCCAGAGCAGGCACAGGCTGCCCCAGGCGGGATGAGTGGCTGCAGCGTGGGGCACTGGGCACAGGGTGGGGAGGGGCCACTTCCCCCCCCACACACACTCAGCACCACCTTGTAACTCGGCCCCACTGCCAGCTTGGGCCCTGCGTGCCTCCAGGCTTGCCCATCGGGGCTGCACGTGGTGACAGCAGCTGCGGTCCCCCTGCTTCCCATGCTGGGCAGTGTTTGCTACCGTTGCCTGTGGGCTGCTCAGTGCGCATTCTGGATGGCCAGCAGCAGCCAACACTGCACGGTGCGGCACGCAGCGGGGGGCACAGCTGCTGCCGCCATGTGCAGCCCCGACAGGCGAGCCTGGAGCTGGCGCAGAGCCCAGGCTGGCAGCAGGGGAGGGTTACAAGCTGGTGCTGAGCACAGGGAAAAGCAGCACCTCACTCGCCCCATGGCCAGCGCCTCACGCTGAAGCTGATTGCAGCCCGTGTAGGGCTGCCTGTGCCTGCTCCAGACAGCCCTGTATGAGCTGCGAGCAGCTGCAGCAGGGAGTGCTGGCCATGGGGCAGGCAAGGGGCTGCTTTTCCCCATGCTCAGCACCAGCTTCTTCCCTGTCGGTGAGCAGGGGGTCAGGGCTGTGCGCTACCTCCTGCCTGTACTGCAAGGCTGGCGGGCACTGGGAGTGAGTAGGTGGGGAGCCAGCAGGAGCATGGGGCCTGCACCGGTGTCCCAGGGCCAGTGCCAGCAGGGCCCAGAGCAGGATGGCAGGAATGTGGGGTCCTGGCCGACAGGGGTGCTATGGAGCCAGGTCAGCTCCTCGCTCTCCCTGCTGGTGCAGCCCAGCCCGGCTTTATAGACCCCTGCCAGCCTGTGCCCCGCTTTGGGCCCCACTAGTGCTGGCCCTGGGACATGGGACCAATAATGTC